TGTGGGCCTCCAGGGGCCCTCGCCGGGCCCCGGGGACCGTAAAAAAAACGGCACGGGATGAAAAGCCGGTCCCGGGGAAAGGGTCGGGGCTTCCGAGGACCGCGCGTTCAGAAATCCACGACGTCGCAGATTTGGGAACGACCGCGACGACGATGGGGACCACGGCGACGAGCACGACGACCGTGGTCGCCGTCGTCGTCGCCCCCGCCGCTGGGGCGTCGACGAGGACAGCATCGGCGACGACGAGCACGACGACGACGAGGACGAATCGTTTGCGTTTTTTTGTCTAGGTTCCAGGCGGTTTTCCAGCCTCGGGGGGCTTCTCAGCAGTTGCGCCTTGCCGAGGGCGCCGTGGGGGTGCCAGGATCGTCCCGAACCGCCGCCGGAGACGAGTTCTGACCCGAAGACCATCAGGACCCCCGGCGACCCCACGTCTTGGAACATCGAGGCGGAAGTGCTTCGCCGTGTTCGGCCTCCGGGAGGTCCTCGTCTGGCCCCAGGGCCATGAGAAGGCAGCTGGGTACCGCGAGTAGAGCACGTCAGGGCATCGGACGCCTGGTCACTGTCGTCGCATTTGTTATTGCGCCATGGGCGGTCTTGCCTGGCTTCGGGCCCCGGGTCTTGACGCCCGAAATGGGAACGGAACAAAAATGCGTACCAGGCCCGACAACACATGCTGTCCAAAACCGACAGCGGCCGCTGTTGGGCAGGCGGCTTTTTGTTTTCAGTGAATATCAGCCAGCGTTGACTCCAAATAGACAGGAGGACAGGAGGAGGACGAGAGGAGGATGGGAGGAGGACGAAAGGAGGACGGGAGCAGGACGGGAGGAGGATGGGAGGAGCAACATCAAGCAAGCGCAAGCAAGCAAGCAGAAGCAAGCAAGCGAGAGCAAGTCACAAGAGCACATAGCAAGAGCAAGCAAGGGCAAGCGACTCATAGGAATCCGCAAGAATCCATAGGACTCGCCATTGGAAATAACCGGGGGGTGCCATTTGAAATAAGGGGGGTGCCATTGGAGTTAGGGGGGGGAAGCATAGGCATAGGCATAGCCATAGGAACTAGAGGAGGGGGGGCATAGGAATTAGGGGGGCAACGGTCCAATTAGTATGATGAGCTAGGACTCCTATAGGGCAAGCCTGTTTGGAGAACAACGTCCGCGGCGGCGCGGACAACCAGTCCTGTCAAACATTATCAGGAACTGCTGTTGGGCCTCGTACCCATTCTTTCCGCACCCAGCTCGATCTTTGGGGGCTTCACATATCGATCCGGCTCGAGTCAGGAGGGAAAAACAACACACAGACACAATTCATCGCCGATTCCTAGGAAAACATGCGACAACAAGGGAAGTGAGTGGGGGAAGCGAAAATCAAAAAAAAAAATGTGGATTCTTGCGATCGGTGTGTCTTTTTCTGTGTGTCCTTGTGCCCCGTTCATCGAGAGCTGCAGCAGCAAGCTTGGGTCCACGGCCCCAGCCGTGCTTGTTTGCTTGCGAAGGCTGTGGCTCGCTCGATACGTCGGATCTCAGGGAAGGCCCCGGGGCCCCTTGCCTGCCCTGCATGCCGTCTTTGGCCGCGGCCCCCTCCTCCTTCCTCCTCTTCATCCCTCCTCTCTCCCCCTGGAGGAGCCTCCCTCCTCCCTCCTCCCCCTTCTCCCTCCTCCCTCCGCCCTCCTCCCTCCTCCCTCCTCCCTCCTCTTCCTCTCCTCCCTCCTCTCTCCTCCCTCCTCCCTCCTCGTCCCTCCTCCCTCCTCCTCCTCCTCCTCCTCCTCCTCCTCCTCCTCCTCCTCCTCCTCCTCCTCCTCCGCAGGCCGTTTTTGGCCGCAGCGTCTCGCTTGTAGCTTGCACGGCGGGGGCGATCGTCAAGGAATGTGCCCAGGAGGTCCCAGACCCTGGCAGCTTCCTTATCTGGCGTGGGCGGCGGCGCTCTCCTTGGCCTTGCCTCCGTTGGTGCCCCACAGGTTTTCAGACTTCGAGACCCTCACCCAAGGGTTACTTATCTTACAGTATACCCTCACCGTAGAAGTATCCTACCTAAGCGAAGGCAGGGTCGTGTCCTGGCACCTCTTTGCCCTCATCAGCGTCGCGCCCTCCCCCCCACCCGCCCCTCCTTCCCTTGCTGCAGGGTTCATTTCGATCCGATCGATCCGATCCGATATCGGTTCTGGCCAGCCCAATCCGATTCGATCCCGATATTCCGATGACCCGATTACTTCCTGATGTTTGCATGACGCTGTTGTGCGACCTGGCGCAACCGATCCGAATCGATTTTGATGCAGCCCGATCCGACGAAGATTTCGACTCGATCCGATTTCCCGATTCGATGCTGACTGATCCCCTGTCCGTCCTGCTCCTCGTCCCTCATTGCCCTCGCCCTCCCGTCGTCGCGAGGGGCCCAAAGCGCACCCCACGCCGCGGCGGAGGAAGATTGGAGGGAGGAAGCGGAGAACGATGAGGTGTAGGAGGAGGAGGTGGATGACGAGGAGAGGAGGAGGAGGAGGAGGATGAGGAGGAGGAGGAGGAGGAGGAGGAGGAGGAGGGAGGAGGAGGAGGAGGAGGAGGAGGAATGAGAGGAGGAGGAGGCGGATGAGGAGGATTCCGCTCCACTGTGCTCACCGAGCTAAATTTGTTACGCTGTGTGCCCGAGTCGGACCACTGCGTGCCAGCTTTCTCGATCACCCGGACGCTGCAGGCCGCTTTCGCCCGCGAGCGCGCTGGGCGCCGCCCGCGCCCACCCCCTCAAACGGAGGCGGCAGCGGGCGAACCCAAACACGGAGATCTGGCGTCGCAGCAAAAATGACCTGCAAAGTGTCGTGAACAATCACGACCAGAGCCCTCCTCCTTCTGCTGCTCCTGCTCCTCCTCCTGCTTCTGCTCCTCCTCTTCCTCCTCCTCCTCCTCCTGCTCCTCCTTCTCCTCCTCTTGCTCCTTCTCCTCATCTTCCGTCTCATTCTCCTCGTCCTCCTTCCCCTCCCCCTCCTCCTCCTCCTCCTCCTCCTCCTCCTCCTCCTCCTCCTTTTCCTCCTCCTCCTCCTCCTCCTGCTCCTTCTACCTCTTCCTCCTTGTCCTCCTCCTCCTTCTCCTCTTCTACCTCCTCCTCCCCCTCCTCCTCGTCATCTCCCTGCACCGTTTGTCGAGGCGGATCGATCTGTGAGGGCCCTGGGGGCCCCGGCAAGCCGAGGCGGAGGGGCCCCCCAAAACCTGGGCGAAGGCACCCGTCGTGCAACAACGGCACCGCCCGATCTCCAGGGCGAGGCGGGCGCGCGCACCGGGCGCGCCCCGAGCGCCCCGCCGTTCGTGGGCGGCAAAGACGGAGGGGGACCACTTCGGCTAGGGATGGATCTCACGGCGAGGGCCACGATGTTTCCCCAGATATTTCACGGCGCCTCCTCTCGTTTCAGTACGTCCCCGCCCCCCCCCCTGGGCCGCGCACGTGCCGCCGGCCATGGTTTGCGCCCCCCCCCCCCCCTCTTGGACGCTCCCCTCCGTGCCACGCCGAGAGCTCGTGCACCTTTGCTCTGCTCTTCTCAGCGAGCCCGACCGCCCTGCAGGGGCCCAGGGCGCGGGTGCCCCCCGCGCAGCACTGCTTCCCGCTCCCGCTCCCGCTCCCTCCTGGACGCTCCCCTCTCCAGGGGGTCACCTGCGAACCCTACCCCCCTGCCCCCCACGATTTCTGGGGGGGTGGGTGGGGTTCACTCCGCTCGAGAGCTCCCGAACGAGGTGAGCCCCGCCCTCCCCCCCTCAGAAATCGTGGGGGGGTATGGGGTAGGGTTCGCACGGGGCCCCCCACTCTCGGGCCCGCCCCCGAGCCATGGGCCAGGGGCTCGACCTCTTTGCGGCCTGCGAGGGCGGCGCCGCCGCCCCCGGCGACGACCGCGCGGCACCCTCGCGGGGCGCGGCGGGCTCGCCGCCGCCGCCGGGCCTCGGCGGCTGCGGCGGCCTGGGTGGCGGCGGCGGCGGCCTCGGCGGCGGCCGCGGCGGGGGAGGATCGGGGAGGAAAGTCGGACGCAGCCAGACCTCCCACGTACGAGGCCTCCCAGGTGTGGTCGGAGTAGAGCAGAGAGCAGCTGGGGTCGGGGGATCGCGCCGCATCGCCGAGGTTATCGGCGGTGCATCAGCGATGCGGCTCGATGTGGGGCCCGAGTTTCTCCATGCCGATGCAGCGCCGACGTCACCAGTGCATGGCCGATGCATCGGCGGTGCAGCGAGATCCTCTGACCCAATCTACTCGGACCCCATCTATGAGGCCTCTAAACGTTGCGTGATGGTCGGCCTCCATCACAAGAGGACTCAGGATGCAAAGCTTGTCCTGGGGAAGGGGTCGGGACTTCTGGGGGCCGCACATTGAAAAATCAACGCGTCGGATCTCTGGGCAGATGTTACCCGTCGGTCGGCGAGAATCTGTACTCCTGGAACCCAATCTCCCAATCGATTTTTTGAGCGCGTCCCACTTCAATCATCGAGCGTTTTTTGGGCGGCCCCTCCTCGTCAGGGGACGAGCGGATCTCTCCAATCCACTGGCAACGCCTGCCTACTTTCTTCTCGGGAAGGAAAAGCATAGACACAAGTGATCGTCGATCCCCAGGAAAATGTAGGAAAATATGGGAAGTGGGGGGGAAGACAAAAACCCAGAAAATATGGAAAAAGATTGGGCATCCTGTTATTTGTGTGTATTTATTTGTGTGTGTCCCAGGGCCCCTTCATTTCTGTCTCTGTCCGTTCTCTCCGACTAAGGGGTAAACAGAAACTTTCGGAGGTCCGCGCGGACTTCTCGGGCTGGCGCCTGGGGCCCCTGGCGGCGCCTGTGGCGCCACCCCTGGCGCGATCCGTGCGCCATGGATCAAGCAGCGGCGAAGCGTCCTGGCTCGCCTATAGCCCTACCAAGCAATGTTCTAAGAACCTTTTGTGGTTTCCACGAAATGTTCTTAGAACATTCCTGGCGGAGTCTGTTTTGTTTGAACACATGGGGTTTATGTTCTGAGAACATTGTTTTTATTCTTCGTT